ACTCATAGAAATCAGAGCAGTAAAAGGTTGGAATGGGTCTTCTATTCCATCCCTCTGCCAGGGTGGGATTCCTCCTGACAGTACACTCTCCCATACATCCAAAAGGATTATTTTTAAAATAAATCATCTTTGGGACACAGACTGTCTTTTTTCTCTGTGTTTGTACAGTGCCTAGCACAATGGGTTCCAGGTACATGACGGGGGCTCCTAGGAGCTACTGCAATACAAAAAATAATGATCGTAACAAACAGAAGGACCCAAACACATCTTGACCTTGATATATTCAATATCTAGATCCAAACCTAGGTCTGAAATTGGATGCTTGAATCCATCTTCAGTTTTAAATGACTACTGATGGCAGTACCAATAGTTAAAGATCTGGTCTTTGGGGCAGGGACTGCATCTGTATACTGTCTTAAGTACTTACATGGGCCCTCTGGCCAGAACATCTGAAAGCCTCACAATCTCCAATGTATTGATCCACACAGCAGCCCTGTGAGGCAGGGAAGTGCTACTGTTCCTGTTGTACAGATGGGGAACTGAGACACAGAAAGTGATTTGCCCAAGGCCATACAGACAGCCTGTGACACAGCAGGGACTTGAACCCAGGTCTAGTTTAGCGCCCTAACCACTGGACCATCCTTCCTCTCAGACGTATCTCTGCCATTTTACATGTTCAGAATGCGCTTAGCACAGGGTAGCGCTGAAATTCAAACCAACAATTTCGCTCAGGAGACAGCTCTCGTTTTTTATGACGTTCAGCCCAAATTGTCCATTTTAAAAGTTACATCCCTAGTATGTAACTTTCTAGTATTATTTCTAGTTGTACCCCTTCCACTGACAACCCCAAACCACCCCTCCCTTAGACAATCCCTCTCTCTCCTGGGCCTTTGCACCCCTCCAAACCAGAAATATATGAGGTGTCTTAGCAAAAAATGGCAATTTTGCAATAAGCTCTCAGGTCCCTGAATGAGCAGCAGCCATACGCATCCATTTATGGAGGTTTTGGGGGCATATGCTACGTTTGATAATGAATCAATGTGCTCCCAAATATCAGTGGGAGCTACCCTTAGAATCAATGCAGCACAGGTCTCTAGGTTCTAACAAGCACTTCTCAATTGCTCAACACATCACCACACCTCATAGGGGCTGACACCGTGCGTGCTCCGGGGCTGGAAAAAAAATGGTGGGTGCTGAGCACCCACCGGCAGACCCCCCGATCAGCTCCTCCCCCTCCCCCCAGCTCCTCCCACCTGCCGTGATGCAGGAGGTACTGGGGGGGAGGGGGAGGAGCGAGGGCGGGGTATGCTCCGGGGAGGGGGCGGAACAGGGTGGAAAAGGAAGAGGCGGAGCAGGGGTTGGGCTTTGGGGGAAGGGGTTTAGTGGGGACAGGGTCGGGGGCAGAGCGGGGGCCAAGCACCCCCCAGCACAATAGAAAGTCAGCACCTCTGCCAAGCTTAATATCCCTCAGCTAGTGTTACTGCAACACATCCCATTCAGACTGGTCAAGACAGGCCAGTCCATACGGGGCCTGGGCCGCTGTGTTTTTGCTGGTGGTGCATTGCACAGAGCTATGAGCACTCATAAGAGACTGCTTTCTTTCTTGCAAAAGTATCGCTCTCTTGGCCCCCTCTGTAATCTAACAGAGCACCCACTTGCAGTATAGAGCAGTCACTCCTTCCTAACAACTCGATCAGAGAAGCAGATTTCTGAGCAGACCCACACAAGCCAGCTCTCCACTCTACTACCTTCCATGCACACAGATTTCCTTCTTCCTCCCACCAGTAGGAGCAGCAATTCCCAGCCCCAGTTCATCAGAGCAGAAACTCCAGCCCTTTGGTAACCCGATATTTATGAGAAGACAAAATTTTTCTTCAAATTTTGAAAAATTAAAACATTAGGGCTATTTTGGGAACATCTGCTGAAGAATGTAATTGACAAAAGATCTTTACTAGACATCTCAAGGAGCAAGAATCTGCCACTGCACTATCCCCCCCACACATCACTGCCAAGATCTGTAGATGCCCGCTTAGCTACATGCACATAGTATGTATCCAAACCCGACAGCCCATCTCCTAGAGAGCAGGGCACCATTTCACGGTGACCCCGCATCTTGGTTTAACTCCTCATGTCCAGTTGCACTAACCTGCGAGAT